GGCCGAAAGACGTGCTACCTTGAATGCAAGCGAACAGTCCGGAGTCGATTCACCGACAAACCCCCTTCTGAGAAAGGCCGGCCAGATTGGCGGTGCTGGGAGGCTTTCACCTGCAAAATGAAGGAAGTGAAAGCCCATGAGGTTGATGGCTACACCTACTTCTATCCACTCCGTGGTGTACAAGCAACGGCTACGGAATGGCGTCAGCATGCTCATTTCCCGGGAACCACTACGTGCAGGAGCAGAACCATACCGCCAGACCTTGTTGACGACTGGGTGGCCTGGCACGCCAGGGACCCTGGGCAGACCAAGCAGAACCTGAAAGAGCGAAGCCTTCGCAAGAACGTAGAGGGCGGGTACTCATCTACTACGATGGAGTTTATCACCAATGGGGGGCTCAAGAACTATGACGCATTCAAACAGCTGATGGTTTCTATAACGAAATCGAAGAGCTCGGGATTGAGCGTTCTCGATTTCTGCAGGCGGCTCGAAGCCATGTCCTTCACTACAGACAGATTGAGGAGCGAAGTAGCTGAAACAATGCGGAGCTTGGAAGCTGTGACCAATGGAACGCACAGTGAAGATGACCTTGTGAGGGCTCGCTTAGCTGATATATCCGTCGTGTTGGATAACATATTATGCGAACCTGGGTCCACACGTGGCAATCGGCGGGGAGTGAAAAAATTCTCGGCAGTTGTAACGAGTGCACGAATGCTCCGCAACCTAAAGGGCTGCCACACTATTGCCGTCGACGGTACGTTTAATCTTACCTATGCCGATCTATGCATTGGGATGGTCTGTTCACTCCCCAAGGCTTCAACAGCACAACCGGTGGCCCTAATTATCATGAACAGGGAGTCTAGTACGTGTCTCGAGCATGGTCTGGGAGAGCTTACCAAAGCTGCTGCAGCGGTCGGATTGGATGAATGCACTCCATCTGAAGCGGTCATAGACGGTAGTGATGCTATCCATCGCGCTCTCACCCGACACTATGGTCCATCAACACTCAAGTTCACGAGCTGTTATTTCCACGTTATCAAGCGGGCCAAGGAGTGCAAAGGGCGGACACGGCTGAGCGAGTCGTTATGGCGAGAAGTTAAGCGAGATCTTCAGCTTATGGGAGACTCTGTTAGTCGCGCCGAGTGGCTGAAGCTCCGAGACTTGTTTTTGAAGAAGTGGTCACAAGGTAAGCGATATATCTGATAGGAATCGCTTTAAGATTGGTTTCCTTGTAGTTTGTAGTATAATAATCCTTTAAAACTGAATTTTTGAATCTACTGCTCCGGATGCAGGAAGCAGTGCCTTTCTGCATCATTATATCCTAGGAAAGTCCGGAATTTCTCGGCAAGCTTTCTCAGGGCTAGTTCCAATAAGTCTCAACAGGGATTTGAATTTCTGACTGCTTGAATTACATTAAAATGAGTGATTAAGTTTCGGACAGAAAGATCAGACGGGCTTGAAATTTTAGGCCGTCCGACCTCATTCGAGATTTAATCCCTACTTTCTAGATTTGAGTCAGCATCGATATTCGCGGAGCTAGTATGTCGATGGATGGGGAAATCTCAGATGATAGCGCATTCCCTCGTGGTCCAGGTCGAAATTCTCCAGGAGTCCTGGAGCCGCCACCACTTATTGACTGATTTTCTGAGGAAGAATTTGTACTCATTCATACTCTTCGCAACTATAATTCGGACTAGAGGCTGACTAAAGCCGTCAATTCTTATTTCTAGGCGAACAAGTACTGTACCTCGAGTCCAGCCCCTCAACGCTGTGTTTCATTTCAGTACGTCCACCCGAACTCACACAAGCGGAGCGGACTTCCGTTGACCGGTTCCTGTCCGATTTTGCTGGGTATCTCAATCCGTTGGCCTGGCGGAGCCACTGGGGTGCTTACAGCGAAGAAACAGAGGCGCCGCGTACGAACAATTCAGTGGAAAGGCTGAACAAAGAGTTGAAGAAAGTTCTTCTCCATTCCCGCCAGCGCCTTACCTTACTAGATCTTGCTGGCTTGTTGCAGGATTCGACGAGGTGGGCACTTATTTCTCAATATGGCCGTCGTGATGTTCGGGGCAAAGTGACTGACAAACTTGTTCAAGCTGCGGCACGCCACCACCTAAGAGCGGCTACTGTCAATTACCGAAAATGGAACGATCGAGATGCGATAGATGGCTCTTTTTCACCAAGAGTTATTCTAATTTTGAGGGACGTACATTCGAAGAGCTTTTGACGCATGCTGAGGAAGCCCATGATATAGAAGCTGTGCTCGGGGGAGAATACGATGATCTGGAGCAAGCGCGAAGGCTGAAGAAAGAGTACTCTGTAGTTCATAGCTTTCTTACTCCTACGAAAGCTGTCGATTATTGGTGTACGTGCCGCCACTGGGCGCTTGATCAGTGCTGTAGTCATACCTTATGCGTGCAGCACTCGCAGGGGAAGGAGATACGTCCAGAAGTTTTGAAGCTTTGGGATAGAGCCGAATGCTACTTCGATAGGCCGAAATTGCGTCGCCGAGCTGACGGGCGATTAGAAGATCAGGCGCTAGCTACCGACATCCGCTATGGCATTGGCGAGAAGGGAAAGAGAAAAAGGTCGTCTGAGATGCCTTCCGGCAGCCGTTCTGAGCCATCTAAGGAACATAAAAGCCAGCGGAGACAGCAGCAAGGTTCCGCTCCATCCGGTACCATCCCAATAAGGCGAGTGCGAAGACCTGACCCTTCAATTTTGGGTAGTTCAATGCAAGAGCTGGAGGAAGAAGAGACTATCGTAGCAGGTAGGATAAGCGGCAGTCTACTTGAGCGATATCACAATTCCCTATCCTGAGTCCTCTCTCAGCGAACACAAGCTGGTCCGCGTGTCGACTTAGAGTTGAAGATGGGGACGCTGGAGAACACTCGATCGTGAGGCTCGTCCGCTTGTCCGACCATTGCCGAAGAGTTGGGGTGATGATCAACTACCCATATCGTCTCCAGGTATATTCCGGATCTGGCGAGATAGCGAGTGCAACCAACACATCGGACGCAACTACTTCCGAATTGAGAGGTCCAATAACCATATGTAAAGCCAAAATGTCGTTGATGTCTACAGGTATCCCTGAATGCCAAACGGTTGGTAATACTGGGCGGTTACCAGAGGAGGAGCAACACTCAGGAAGCGGCAGAACTCTACCCTCAGGCGAAATTGGCCCGATACATGTATGTACAATGTTGCAATTAGAGTGAACATAACGCAACACTTTTCAGACCAAATCATCGCGGGATTCGTTACCTATTGCTCTGAGGAAACCTCGACGAAGAAGACGATTTGATTACAGACTATTCGGCGCAGACGGTATTCGTTGCTATACCGATGAACCCGAAAGTAGTGAAGGTGGTAGAGAAGTTCTCTCCGAGAGCAGGTGAAAGCCTGAGCAGAAGTGAAGAATCTTGCATGAAGACGGTATCTTCATCGTAGTATGAACGAATCGTGGTCTAGTCGATATCTACTCTGACTAGTAGTCACTGACTACCATGACTAATTTGATGAAACACAACCGTGCATTTGTCAACCAGTCCAGTAAGCCTATTTCTAACGATCGAATGTTGCTGGGGTCTAGTTTCAATTTCGAAGCCAGTGATTGACTCTGGCATCGGGAGTATCATGGTCCATACTTCATGGGTATGACGAGCACTCTGAGTTTGTTTAACGCAAAAGATGCAGACTATCAGAGAAAGAATGATCCAGAGCGCTCAGTGCTAAACTTAGTACGCGTTAACACTGCACGCATCTACTGAAGCGGCTTCAGAATCTCTCAAGCTCAAAATTACAAAATGGAGCAGACTTGCGATAAACTTTGATAGGAAAGCAGCGCATATGAAAATATTTACCTACGCCGGCACATCTGAGTGTATACCCGTAATAAACTCTTTCGAGTTTCGGAAACTCAGTTTCCGCCTCACTCAGCGGGGACCGTCAGACCACTGGCATTTCAACGTTGGGGCCTCCGGGATGTACATCCCATCTAACAGCCATGTGTAGCGACCAGTCTAGCGGGCCCCTCTGTGAGGAATTATGAGATAGAGAAGCTCTCTAAGAAAGCCACCAGGGATCGGGTCAGGGAGTTGCCGAAGGATGGCAGATGAGCTAATCCAACTCAGTTGGCGAGAAGAATCTTTCAGCGTGCACAGTGGGGGTTGGGCTACACAGTGCTATGCACTGCATTTCCATCCCATCGTCATCATCGTTTGTAAAGAATATCCAAAGCCATTAATTCAATTTCACATCATGTCAGGCATAGTAGATACTTACTTGAATTTCGACTATTGAAAAGTATACTATTAACGTACTTCTTAGTGAGAAATATGTAGCAAGTATTTGATCTTGTTTCTGTTGTGGTTGACAGTGATTATTCATTAGAATTTTTTCAGAAGTGAGTCGAATGAATATAACAAGTTGGGGATGAGCTGAAAACTCTCCACTACAATGAATAGCAGTGATCCCTTGTTGTTATCACTCCCAGTCTCCAGCCTTTGCACTGCAAAGTTTGCAGCACTTTGCAGTCGCCATCCACATCAGCTATGAGGGTGTACCACAGCTGCAGGTGACGGGAGGACCCCAAGTAACTCGCGTAACGCTGAAGCAGCGTCAGGCGAGGCTTTCCTTTCAAAAACGTTCCAAAACTCAAGTTGCGCAGTTTGTGCAAAGTGCATGTAATTTTTCCGCAACGCCGCAGTTGGGAATTGAACCCCAGTGTCTATCCTTCGTGGACTATTCGAGTATAGGGTGTACGTGATAGGGTCGTAAAGGGACCACAGTAAAAAAGCGGGCCGAAGGCCCGCTATTCTACTCTATAAATAACATTTTTCCGCGTGTGTGGACATTCAACCCCGATTGTGGGGACATTGGGCGCCGGTAGCAGCAAGCCAGCGTGTGTGTGTTGCTAAAACATTGGATAATTCTGGTCGGCCTCACTACGACTCCTCCTCATTCTTAGTATATCTGCTGCTGCTGTTGTTGTCGGTAGTATGGCTAAGACTAAGAAGGAAGCTCCTACTGCTGCTGTCGCCGCCTCTTCTACTGCGGAGGCCCAGAAATCTACGGATTGCATGATAAAGCCTTCCAGCGTGAGCCCTCCGATCAACACCTCGGAGTGGCCCCTTCTGCTGAAGAACTACGACAGGCTTAACGTGCGCACCGGACACTACACTCCTCTGCCCTTCGGCTGCTCCCCACTCAATCGGTAGGGTGGGAAGTCGGACTAGTCGTTGGTGACACGCCAGACTCCACTGAATACTTCACTATTGGGCTCCTCATTACCGTCAATGGGGAGCAATAGACCCTAAGTGTGCTCCTCACAGCGTATGACGCATATTTACACGCTGTGATTCGTACGGGGATGTCCATAGCTATTCATGTGTTATCTTTCGGTGTAGTCCTCTCGACCAGCATTTGCTATACGGCGTATGCAACCTCGATAAGCCGGTTAACCCTTCCTCCCATGAGGTTGTTGCTTGGATTAAGCGCATCCTCAAGTGTGAGAAGACTGGCCATTCTGGCACTCTCGATCCTAAGGTAATTCCCCTCTATGTTTTATCCGTCACTACTGCTCATTGTTAGGTCTCTGGCTGCCTCCTCGTATGCCTCAACCGTGCCACCCGTCTCGTGAAAGCCCAACAAGGCGCGGGGAAAGAGTAATATACATCTAGGAGATTCCCTAGGGACCAATATTGTGTGTCAAGGTACGTCTGTGTGGTCCGCTTCCACGCTGACCCTGGTGGAGAGGCTGCTATCACTCGCGCCTTGGATCAGCTCACTGGTGCCCTTTTCCAGAGGCCCCCAGTCATTGCTGGTAGGACCTCGAGCGCACCATACGTGTATCATATCATCCTCATGCCTTAGCTGTGAAGCGTCAGCTCCGTATCCGTACCATCTACTGGTCCAAGCTGCTCGACTATGATGAGGAGAAGCACATGGCCGTCTTCCACGTCTCCTGTGAGGCCGGTGAGTCTTCTTAGTCGCCGAATATGCACTGTTAGTATACGTAACCAGGTACCTATATCCGAACCCTCTGTGTCCATATGGGCCTCCTCCTCGGTGTGGGTGCCCACATGCAGGAGCTGAGACGTGTGAGGTCTGGAAATCTCGGGGAGCAAGATCAGCTCGTCACCATGCATGACTTGCTCGATGCTCAGTAGCCACTCTTCCTCCTGGGACCTCCTATCATACCGATTGTATTAGGTATGTCTATGAGAGCACTAGATCCGAGGAGTACCTCAGACGTACTATCATGCCCCTTGGTGAGCAGCAGCCCCTATCCTCCTTGCGGAGTCCATTGATGAGCCCTTTCAGAGCGCATCCTCGTCTCCTATCCCCGTATCGTCCTCAAGGACTCTGCTGTCAACGCTGTCTGCTATGGTGCTAAGTTGATGGTTGTTGGTGTAAGCATATGCTCGGATCGGGTAGATCCTTCTTGACGTCTTTCCTCAGGTCCTCCGATTCGAGAATGGTATCGAGGTCGGCAAGGACGTAGTGTTGATGACCACGAAGGGAGAGGCGGTCGCCTTGGGCATCGCTCAGATGACCACGGCTGTCATCGCTAGTGTTGACCATGGTAAGCACGATCGGCCCCATTGGTATGTCGAGGATGATTCTGTCTCGGTTAGGTTGTGTGGCAACTATCAAGCGTGTCATTATGGAGCGCGACACTTATGATTCCCGTTGGGGTTATGGCCCGAGGGCCTCTGAGAAGAAGAAGCTCATCCTCAACGGCAAGTTGGATGAGAAGGGAAGGTGAGTGAAGACTCTGTGATGTTGTTTGAGGACTTGACATTGTCATAGACCCAACGAAAACACTCCTGAGTCCTGGTTGAAGCATGAGGGTATGATTCCTAAGCTTACCGGTGCCCCTGCTGAGGACAAGAAGGAGTCTCCCAAGGAGGAGTCTCCTGAGGAAGAGGAGGAGCCGGTGAAGAAAGGTGAGATAGCTTAGAGGTCGAATCGTCATTACTGCTCTTGGCCTTAGAAAAGAAGAAGCACCACAAGAAGCGTGCTGTAGAGGAAGTTGAGGAGGCCGAGGAGGCTGATGAGGAAGTGAGATAAACCCACCGGCTGAGAGTTTCAGTGTTCTGCTTCAGGCCGTCGAAAAGAAGAAGAAAAAGAAGAAGTCCAAGCATCATCATCACGACGACGAGGATGAGGCATAACTCTTCCCTTTTTCATCCGACTTGACTGTCGTAACGTAAACTTCATCATCGTCGACTACTAATAAGAGCGTCCCCCCTTCACGTCATCACCGCGCCTTCTACAACATTTCCTACCACTACTACCCCAGCAGGATCATCATCATTATGAGTAATCGTTTCCGCAGCAGTCCTACCACTATCTCAAGTTGACGACGCATTGGCATTGTTATATAGATTTACCAATATCGCTGGTTGTTGGGGAAGACAAGTGCCTGCTGATACAAAGTTTCTCTGATGATGGGCAAAACGCGCTGTCTTTGAGTTAGTCAGGGTGGTTAGAATCAATGACGACTGTCGACACTTCTACTAGTGATTCAGTAGTACTGAACGATTCGTACCATCTAGCTAGAAGTGCGAAGCTTCCTAATTAAAATTACGGTATTAGGAAGATGCCGAGGAATTGAGTGTATGAATGTGCGATTGGTCATTTGAGTACTTCATCGATGATTTCCAGACACTCAATATATAACGTAATAGACGATACTCATAAGAAACAGATATCGGGAAACATGCGCAGTAAATTGAGTTCAACTTTCCTTGGCCCTTCTTCCGACTTGCATAGAATCTGGTCCCCGCAAACCTCTCGCATAGCAACATCAGCGTAGCTACCGCTATTGAGTGTAAATGAGACACGAAGGGCACCTCCATCGACAGGATCAATGTACACACTACGGGCGTTGGAAACCAATGGTCTGAACTTCTCCTTTGGAGGAATTTCAGTCAAGTCACCAGCTTGATGGATGGTCGCTATTATCGCTGAAGGGAAATTCCCGATGCTTGTTGGTAGCAGCGACTTGTCCAGGAGATTCAGAGGGAGAACAACTTGTGATAGGGTATATCTCCTGGCGTCCTCGGCGTTCTGCACGATGAAGGGTGTGTCAGCATCAGGAGGCATGATGAGATCGCCAGGGAGAACAGATCGGGAAAGGGTGACACGGCGAGAGGCGACACCATTCCATATCCACCCCAGACCTGATGATATGTAACGTCTGAAAGAGAGAAGGCGATCATCTCCGAGCTGCCTGCAGCATCCGTGGGGGTTTACTCTGAGGCTTCGCATGCTAAGAATGCTTCCCTCCATGTTGCCCCGGCAGAGAGGCTCTGGAGAACCTCGGATGCCGCGTGGAACCTCTCAGGCAGTAGGGTGGCACAGACGACGTAATCTCCTCGAGAAAAACTGAAGTACACTCAGAAATAACATTCAGCACCGCGGATTCCCCCAATACGCATCAAAAGCCCTCGAGGCATCGTCGATGTTGCCGTAACCACGAGCGAAGAGAAAGCCAATTGCTTGACGGAAGTTGCCAGTGAGAGCGGCCAAACCAATAAGATGGTCGCGACAACGAGGATAATCGAGAGCATGCAAGTCGAAGTAGTTCTGAGACAGGAAGTCCACGAGAGATTATTCACACACGGTGACGCTTACAACGAAGGGAAACTCCTTGTAGCTTGTTTGCTTAACTCCACTGTATCCTCGAATCGGAGGTTTTTCGGGTTCTGGCGGTGGTACGAATACACCCTAATGATTAACACCAGATTACGGTCAATGCATCGCCATGGTTGGATAGTCGAACATATCCATCATTACAAGGCGCATTCATATTTTTTGCTCCGAGTTTTATATGTGACTCGCATACCAAACTCATAGCAAAAAACTGCTATTAGTTTACCCTTCATGAATGTCCGAATGCTCACTTTCTCAAAGGCTTTGGATATATCATATGCCCCCGCCTGAGGAGTCGTTTGGAATTCGTCTGAAAGCTGCGGGTCATCCCACATCGCAGGGCGTAGTGTTAGCTCGTAACGGTAGCCGTTGGAGAGCGAGGCGTCTATTGGAAAGCTCTGTACAGCGACGTCGCCGATGTCGAAAGTGCCACCTCGGTTAGTAGAAGATCCTGAGGGGATAAACATGACCACTTTGACGAAGGGCTCTGAGGATGGTACTGGTGATGGCAGCCCTAGTAGAAGACCATCGCGGAAGGACATGTTGTATCCATTGCTCCAACGGTAAAGATACAACTTGAGTACACAAGGATGAACGGTGTGGGTTGTGAATCAGACCCCACTGAAGGGAGTCTGATCTAACATAGAAACAGCACTAGCCGGGCCTCTACGCGGTGGAGTTTATATCTCACGAATGCCCAGCTAAAGTCGTGAGGACTCCTTGTAAATCCATGCCAGCCCGCGAGACAGTGAAATGGACGTACTGCTGCACCCCAGTGGAGCCAGAAGACTAGAAGGCTACGTGAATACACAGGAATAGAGTAATAGCTGATACCAATCTAGGGAAGAGTTGTCGAGGGTCTACTGCATCTGGAAGTGACAAGGAGTCTAGGAGCTTAACTGGCCTACCACGGATCACATCGTGGATCTGAAATGAACACCCTTCGTGCAGACTAGAACACAAAGAGAGCTTACCGCATAATCCGGGCCACTGCAGAGTAGAAGGCGCGGGAGCAACTCTTCCGAGATGAGCCCACGCACCGCAGCTTCTCTGGACCACAACTGTACCTATCGTGGCACGACTACTATGAGAGCTCATCTGCATCAGCACCATGGGAAGCAAAGGATGCCTTCTGAGCAGTGGCCCTGCTATGTTGAATCGTCTGTAGAGGGAGTGCTGCGAGGCCATTGGGCTACAGGAGGGATCTGCCACTGCTAACCCTCAACGATTTCAGAAAGTGTGGTATGATCTCTAATACGGGAGAAGGGAAGGCTGTGAGCATCATGGGGGCTTGCATGATGAATGTTGTCGCACATATAAAATCATCACATCAGCGTGTTCGGATAGGGAATGTTGTCCCCGCCATCCTAGCAACAGCTACTAGCATAGGTGTCGCCAAAATTGCCAGTAACCATGCAGTGCTTTGAAATGATGCACATGGTGCTCCTGGCGGGGTAAGGTCATGCCTTCATATTATGCACTCATCATTCAGCAGAAATATTTCGAGAAATTAGGATCAGAAAGGATGATAAGAATAACATATCGCATCAGTAGTGATCGAAAGGCTCCACCGCTGGGCCGTGCAATGACTTCTGCTGATCGATGATGATGGCATCGACTACCTCAGTATTGCAGTAGTCCCTTCAGCCGGCTTTACTCACTGTACTCCGTAGAACACAACGATCAAGTACAGTAGACACGACCGTTGATGAGCACTAGCCATGGTAACTATTGATTCCCCAGTTCATCAGAGTCATCGTTCCACCAGGACGGCAGGGGGTCCGAATCCGTCAGATCTACTTGCGATGGGAAGCTTCCACTAGGCTCATGCGCAAGGTTATCATAAATCGATCGATCATGGCGATCGCGGCCTTCCATAATCTGAGGAATCGTCAAATCAACTTGATGATTCTCGGCCCTCACCTTCTGGTGCAGGACTTGCACAATCCTCTCTTGTCCCAGCAGCAGCTCCAACGCCCGCTCCCGGTCCACTACAGCGACATTGGGAACAAGGACACAAGGCGTTGCCTTACAGTCATGGACAGTGTCAATGCTGTCGGTCATGGGCGTAGCATCCCCAAGTCCCAGAGAACCTATCATATAAGGATAACAGAATGGTAGCCTCTGGACGAAGGCCTCACCCTCTCCTGAGTACCCAGGGGAGAGCCTCTGGTCACCAGTAGCTCTCTGACACTGTTGCTTCTGATAGAGGGATATCTCGTTCTTAACGTCATCAATGCACTGCTGGAGGAACACCTAGCAGTAGCACTACTATAGGCATTCACTAGTATCAGGCATGCCTCCCACTTCAATCTCCGATCGCTGTCGCAGCTGCTGGTCTATGGCTTCCCGTAGATACTTCAGCGACAACCTATGATCGATTATCAAATTGTGAGATGAGCAAATCGATTACTTATCACTATTGATTCGATCCCTCAACGCGTCGATGGTCTTACGATATCTCAACTCCCTCTCATACGCTAAATTGGTCATCCTTGTGCGAGCAGTAGAGCCACCGCCGATATCAGCGTTGGCCCGGTCTGGGAACACCTTCTAGGCATCTCTCGATATTAATACTAATCTACCTCCTGACCCTCCACTGTTCTCGAGTAGCACATCGTTACTGCCACCGCTGGTACCAGAGCTCGGTAATCCTGATGACACCTTAGCGGCGCCTGGTAGAGTAACGACAGTTCCCTGCACACGAGCATCACTCTACCAGCCTTGGTCCCAGAGGACTCCCTTCGCTGTTCTATCATGTCCTTTAACCGTGCCGACTCTCGCTTAGTCGCAACCTGAGGCTACTCCTTGACACGTCGTCATTCTTGCGTGAAGGAGCGACCAGTTCCTCGAGTAAGCGCCAACGATCATCTTCTTGTGCCTCTAGAGCCTCCGCTAGCCCCTTTCTCTCGCCTTCAAGCTGTTCATTCCTCCGCTCGAACGACTACCGAGAGAAGGAGTCGACTCTGCACACGCGGCGACGGCGTGAACTTACCTGCGCAAGTTCACGACTGGCCCGGAGGTCCACCAACATCTCGTCATGTCTGACCACGACAGACAAGTGTCGGAACAATATACGTGTGGTTTCCTCAGCTGACCTCAGGAGTTTCCAAGGCTACATTATGAAAATTCACACACAGTGCAGGATATTACAAAAACCAACAACACTTTCTCAAAATTCATCAGAATTTCTGATGAATTGTTAGCAACACACATGTAGTTCATCATTTGCATATTCACCCATACTGCGAAAAGCATAGGAAGAGCCCAAGATAGTCTTTCTACCGAGCTTGCAATTCCATCGAGTAGTCACCCTTCAGTTCCCTCTGGTGTTCGAGCTCTCGAGCTACATCTTGCATTCGAGCTCGGAAGGCCCGCATGAGATCTTTTTCCTGGATACCACACTTCCCTGAAGTCTCTTTAGAATCTACCCTTACTTGATCTTGTAGCACCTTAGTTGTATTGGTTTCGATACACTCCATACACGCCACCAGTGTATCATGCATACCCCTGAACCACCATCATAACCACACACAGCATTCATGACGTCTCTAACAATCACCTCAACTCTTTTATTCGCCGTCGATATTCCCCATCAGTCATCGAAGTCTTTTTTCGCTCACTTTCCTGATACAAGGTTAGTTGGACCCCTATGGCCGTCACTGACCTCATCTTCTGGCGCATCGTTCGCCGCGTCCCTATTAGCACTTTCTCTTCTGGCGAACGCGCTCAAGCGAAACCTAGATGGTAATATACTCTCATGCAACAACGAAACAGGTCTCGCATAGCGACCAACGTGTCTGTCATCCCCAGACTGCAAAAAAGGCCGCATATGTGCAGCCAGTTCAAGACTACCCCAGAGACGTGAAGGCCTCACCGGAACTTGTCCTCTAATTTCCGAGACTTTCTTTCGAGCTTCTGTAATTTATTCATAACAGCATCTTTCCCATTACCTGACGAAGCCCGGGCGTGCCCTATTTTTAGCGATCGCTCCACATATCTACTATGACGCAGTTCTCAAAAAAATCTCTCTGTGACGTGAAGCCGCTACTAGGTGCCGCACTGAGCAACCGTATGAAAATCTGGGGCTGTCAAAAACAGCCTATTATCAATGGGTAGCAATGATAGTTCTTATATTATACCAAATCGTTGAGCGCCACGTCTTAGTGCCAATCTCCTACTAACCTAGAGCCTGCCTGATCGGTCCATGGCCGCTAGCGTGCTCCAGGACACAGACCCAGCGAGGTCTAGCTGTTAACATTTTCACTAGTTATAACCTATCCATATTTTCACATGGCTATCACGTTGTCATCACCAAAACTGTTCTTCACTGCGAGCATCATCATGATCATCGCAGTCCTCTCACCCTTCATGGGCGTTCATGCTGAGACTTGTTCGGAGCTGTGTTCAAGGATAAAGAAATGCGCAAGTTCCAAGTATGGCTCCTACTGTAAGGCATCATCAGTGCATAGCACTACTACAGTCTGCTACGGCCTGTTCAAGGATCTTAATGCTTCAATATGCTATACCGATTCACAAGGCGATAACTGCTGGGGAAGCCCCGTCGAGTGCGAGTACGACGACTACGGCTTCGACGAGGTCACTACTGGACCGACTAGTCCTAGCTTGAATGATAAGAGAGACTCGAGACCGTCTCCTGAGAAGTGGCGAATTCTACCAACGACTACTTATGCTAATGATGCTGCTGCTATCGACAGTCAATCGAGTGCCCTATCTAGCTCAGGGGCTAGTAGGAGGAGACTGACAGAGCTCTCAGTGGTAATGCAGAGGCCAGAAGAAGAGTGGCCATCTCAGAAGGAGGTTCCCAAGCCTGTGTCAACTGCTAAGCGTCAGGGTCAGCCATCGCTGAGCTGTGAATTTTCTCAATGGGCTCTGGAGAAAGTCCTGTAAGTACGTTCGTGTGTGTATAGTAACTATCCTCATTCTCGACCCTTCATGGTGTTTTCTTAAGGCAGCCAGCACTGCGCCTCCTTTGAGGATGACATAATGTCTGTTGGTGCTACTACTACTAATGCTGTTGCCTGTTTTTGGTCTTCATTGATATATCTGAACTATGCTGTGTAAGGGGCGTCGCCCCAGTTACTTGACTACGAACATGAGATTATCTCACCGACTTGTGTTGTTCATATCATGGAATTTTTCCACGGGCCTCCGCGACCACTATAGATATGGTAATTACGAGGAGGAGGAGGAGGAGAGACTAGCTCTTAGATTCATTCGTGTGATTCGGTCAGCGACCTACACACCATGTACAAGCTGTAAATCCGTGGTTAAAAACGGTCTGGGACTAGGCGACCCATGAGTCTACTAGATTCATTTCAAAATGATCACAAGCAAGTACGCGACATTGAATCGCGTAGATGCGGGGATTAGATGATATAACTCGTCTCCTCTCTTCCTGTATGAACCCACCTATGTCTAGCCGAGGACTTGAAAGTTCAGGCTCGAGTACTTCCCCTTCTCGGCTACGTCGTGTGTCCTCTTGCACACTAGAGGGTGGCTCCTCTCTCGGATTCATCGATGGATCCAAATGCTACAAATGAACTGGGGTCATGCATTGATCGAACGCGAGAAAAAAGGAGAGATTCCACATGAAACTTGATCAGCAAGAACACACCTAATTATAACTAGATGAGCAGGCTCATCAGCACAGCCTTAGAGGGGACGAGTGGCGATGTTGAAGTACTGGGGGACTTTCGTGGTCCCCCCACCGACCTCAGCATTGTCGAGATCAGAGCCGGCGAAGGAACTCGGGGTGATCACAGGGGTGAAGTGCCGGCTGAGAGGAAATAGCCGGTATCAGTCCAAAGGGGAAGAACACTATGCATCGGGATGGTTTTTGCTGAGATCGAAGACATGCTATAGTTACCGTTCTGTTGCCAATAAAGGATGCCGAATATCCCCATCTGTTATGCCTCCTTCCTGCGGGCCGAAAATAGGCGACCATAAGACAGAATTTTCATGGGATAATCGATGGTATCTGACTACTGTTGTTGAAGGCGGCAACACACACAAATACGATACGACCGTCCGCCTTCCCGCTGGGGTATTACATAAAGCAGGCAAGCACGAGAACAGCCATGCAGAGGTCGGCGATGACGACGCCGCCTACCCACCATGGATAGGCCTTCCATTGGGCTATGACTCGTAGTAGGATTGCTATCAGAGCTAAAGCGTTGAAAGCCTGAACAGCTCGAGATCTTCATGAGATGAATAATCCTACTATACCGAGCTTGGGAGAATATCCCGTATGCCTCTCCCTATCTGTGTCATGCTAGCTGCTGACATAATCGACATGATGGCGATGAGGCCCGACAGCACCTGATTACCCCTAGAAATCTAATTACGAATGATGCCACTATCATCATCACCAATGCTTCTGATAGGCTCCCCCCGATCCAGCCGCATGCCATGCAGAGGGCCCCCGCCACGAACTCGGTAGTACCTAAAGGGTAGAGCATTCGTACTAGGATTCTCAACATATCTAGAGGATTGGAATCGAAGTAACAACCTACCAACACTGAGTCGCAAACTGTCTGCGTATCCAGGAAGCCTCCACACGTCGGCGACCCAGGCAAAGGCAGTTCCCATTGAGCGATAAAGGGGGTGGAATGGGATGAGCTTTCTTAGACTAGTCCACCATATGAAGGTCCCTGCATTTGATGCTACTATGGTTGTACGACGACGATGTAGATGCTCACCCACTATGAAGCTTATAAGGTTACTAACCAACACTGCCGTCCATTGCCACCTTTCCTCCGGCCTGTCTGCTATTGAGGATGCAGTGCTGCCCATCTAGTTGGAAATCAATTACGATAATGACTGTACCAGGGATGTCGGATGATATTGATCATGACCTGAGGTGTAGTGCGTAGCACAGTAGGCGAAGCTTTCTCGAACGATGTTCACAGACACATACACGCCTACGTCACCATATTTCACTCAATGACTTGGGTGGGTCAAGGGCTTCCTCCTGGATTCGTGAATTAACCTATCCTGCGACATCTAGGTGATCAATTGCGCAATATCAGCAGCTCTAATCAGGAAAAGCAAGCTATAATACACAATGTGCATCGATATCGGAATGTTGCGCACAATTCAGTAAACGACACCTGGGAGATTCGAACTCCCGCGGGCAGAGCCCAACGGCTTAGCAGGCCGCCGCCTTAACCACTCGGCCAAAGTGTCATGCATTAGCTGCTATGACCGTTAGGCTCGCCAGTTTGCCGAAGACACCAACGTAACATCACGTCGGTAGAGCTTATAGTGCAGCACCTAGAAGATGAGGACCTAAGATCATAACTCACTTTTTGCATCTTAATATTCTCGCTAATCTGGAACTATCCTCGTGTTCGCATCCGTCATCCTGGCGAGAAAGTTCAAACAGGGATGTTATGTATCAACCCTTCAGCCGAACAGGTCTTGCAACAATCAAGATGCCCTCTCCACGGAAGAACTCTGTACAGTTGGGTCCCGCCGCTGCTGCTGCTGCTGAGGAAGAGGAAGAAAGCTCGCCGCAAGTCGATTACGGAGAAGAATGGGAGGAAATTGAGCGCGAAGAAGAGCAGTCTAGGATTGGTAATAGGACTCAGACAAGTATTCAACAACGTATCGGGAAAGCATAAACGACATATTCTGATTTACTTCTCGCAGGAATTTGAGACTTTCGTAGAACTGAATTGATCTCGTGCATGACAACTGCCGGTTGATCTGTCAGCTGCGGGCCGACCGAAGAAGAAGTCGTCCAGTAATCGCAAGCCCCGGCTGAACTTATGGGATGACTGTGAAAACATGCCGGGAGCTAAGCCTAACGCCACACCAGTTCAACGGGAGTAGTGGCCTTACCCTGTTAACAATGAACTTACTTCGTATGAGCATGTTAGATATTTCGAGTCCCGCTGTTTGAAGGTTTGGAAGGAAACAGCAAAGGAGAGTAAAGCCCATGAACAGGAACGCTCACGGGAGATTGAGCGGGAGGAGGCTGAGTGGTACTACTACTACTACATCTATGGACTCCATCGGAATCCACCACGTTCTTTCTTCAGCCTTGAAGATGAAATAACAGATCTTTTCGAGATGTTCCCTCTATTGGATTCGGCTCTCATTCAAGACATTTACCTCTGCAGTGATCGAGACTGGGATACTACAGTAGACACTCTACTGGTAGTAGGAGCATTGATAACTCTCTAATTGTATCACCATGCTGATTGTTCCAGAAACTAAGTGGAGAGAGCGAGGGACTGGACGCCCGAGTGAGCAAGCCGCCACCAAGGATGGACGATGAGAACGAATTCCCTCTTCTTGTGGGGAAGGACGATTGGCAGGTAGTCATATATCGATAGAATGGGGAGGCTGCAGTACGTTGTTAGAATTGTTTCTACTAGGTTGTCCCGCGGTACATATTGGAGGAAGGGAAGGAGGATACTGTCTCGTCGTCGCGGCCCACTGAGTCTACTTCCTATCTCGCTAAAGTGATGAAAAACACTACCAAAGAGGAAAATACGACACTGTAGATTCTCTCGCTCGTTATGGTTCGGAAGGGATTGAATTTTGTACTACTAAGTTGATCACAAACATTTCACTCGATTCACACAGACTGGCCCTTGCGTTGTACAGGGAGTTATGGTGGTTAATGAGGTGGGCCTTTGTATGGCTGAGCGGCGACCAGAGACCGATAATTGTACTAGTGAGGAGGAGTCGTCCTCTTCAGGGGACGAGGAGGTCACTTGGAATGTGAATGAGAGAGAGAAAAGGGTGGTTATTCAGAAGTCTGGTAGGAATAAGTGTAGGGTGCCGGGAACGAACCTGCGACCTTCAGCTACCGCTTTGAAGGATGATGAGTTCTGGAGCTCGAACTTACACGACACGTGGGAGGAGGATCCCGATGATAGCAGCATCTCGTTCGACTCTGAGGATGAGGAGGATGCGCAATGGCAAGTAAATGACCTTGTAAAACTCGTTCGAAGCCTCCCATGGGTTCGTATTAGGACGTGGGTGAATCTAGCATGTCGGAGGCAACCTCTGGTGTAGAGGAGGAGGAGGGGGGTAACAATGAGGAGGAGGAGAGTGATGATAGCTCAAAACGCAGACGGAAACCGAACAAGTAGCCGATCTGGGAGGTGTACACTATTTTGGTGAATATTCCCTTTACACTGGGATTTCGGTACTTCACAAAATGCAAAGTGCTGAAAGCCTTTGGTTACTAGTCATGCAGAGTAGAAAAATGTGCACATGGTCAACTACATTTTTGTTGGTAAAAATATGAAAATTTTGGGAAATTTTCATTGATTTCTGTATATTTTTTCCAAAATTCGTATTTAAAGTTCCATAATTATCAAGCGAACTCCTGAGCTCAATATAAGTAAAAAAGCGAATATATATTCCTACTCCAACACTGTGGCTGCGGGAAAAATAGCACTTCTATGGGAGGACTGAGTATTTTGTGAGAGCGCGCACTATCTCGTTGAAGTAGAACACAACATCAGTAGATTGGGCTCATAGTGAGTGAGATAGAGCAGAGAAAAAGTTAAAGTAGCCGAGAGAATGCAGTGATAATGCGAAGCTAGTGTGAGCACAGCTCGATTGTGTAATGTACTCTAGACTGTGCAAGCGGCAGCTAAACTATCATACGAATATCGAAGGATTCAAATAAGCCACTCGTGATCGACATTATTCTCCACCTTCTATTCCATTTACAGGCAGGTGTCCACTTGATCAATTCTAGATATGTTGATCCGGCGCTACAGCCCAAACGGAAGAAGGCTCGGAAGGCCTCAGCTGTAGAGAAAAGGGGAAGGAAAAGCAGCGAGGAGGCGACAAGTACTCCGTCCTGGGAGGAAACATCTAATAAAAAGTACTAACGTATCGCTCCGTTGATTCGGTGGGATTTGTATCGATCAGGCCGGTATCGGCTTCCAGAGGCGTCCGCGGTGTCACCACTAGAGATACTACCCGAGCTCAGACGGTGGACTCTAGTATTAGAGAAACGGATAGGATGCATAGTCAAGAGGAGCGGAGGAAGGGTAGAAAGGAAACCAAAAAGAAGGAGACCAAGGACAAGTGGCCGAGCTATGTAAGACATGTACATGATCGCTGAATTGGTTGGGGTGTGGTATGTCGCTACTACTGTTGACGATCGCTGAATTGGTTGGAGTGTGGTATGTCGCTACTACTGTTGACGATCGCTGAATTGGTTGGAGTGTGGTATGTCGCTACTACTGTTGACGATCGCTGAATTGGTTGGAGTGTGGTATGTCGCTACTACTGTTGACGATCGCTGAATTGGTTGGAGTGTGGTATGTCGCTACGACCGTTCATTTCACTCATCCGTCATTCCATTCATCTCTTCATATTGATCATTGGCTTTGTGCCAACTACCATTGTTTACTGCACCGTGTAGACCTCCGACTGTCAAAGAGTATTTTCCTATTGTCAATTTGTAGTCTATTACTATCTACCACCACGGCTTCCTTCACGCTCATGTCACTCAGGATGAACTCATTGACGAGGCCCTCCAAGTGGAAGTATGGAACACGAGACAACTCATCGACTATATCAGCTATGAAAGGGAACTCGATAAGATGGGCCATCATCAGAGTGCCGCTGTGAAGGCTAAGAAGAAGGCCAGGGAGACCACACCTCTAGTGCGTTGGACCAACAGGTGAGCACTATTCTCAGCCACCATATTAAGAATCTTCGCAGTGCGTCAAAAGTAAGGGGAGAAGTAATTGAGGAGTTGTCCTTTCATAACGGTGCGGACATCTCTGCAGCATTTCCGTCTCCGTCGGCTTCCCCCGTAGAGCTGTCTCCATCACAGCGACGGAAGTACCGAGAGCCGTTCACCGGCGAGACGTAGCGTCTTCAGTTCATCATCTAATTGTACACGATTGGTGTCAGATTCGATACGATAGAGGAGTACAAGAGGCTTCGAGAAAAGGGCCAAGCGAAAGAGCTGGTCGAGTTTGACCGAGCCTTGAGAGTCTTAGAGACCTATTGTGTTAATACTTGATGACTTTGTACTTGGAAAGGATTGTGTTAGAGGAGTAGCTCCAACCGATGTTTTGAAGAATAACATGTCTAGAGTATCAAATTGTTCAATGGAGTTTCACCCATGATATGAAAAACACTAGTGAAAAACATATTTCACGACTATCGCAAGGTGCAATTATCGCGTTTTCCACCGAGTTTTACGCCACTCTACGTAAAACGGGTGAAACTCCAATGCACTAACGACAGCAACGCTATTCAAGGACAATGACGACCTGGGCGTTGCTGTTACTGCTATCGCGTATTCTACGAGTATTTGCTACTCCTAGAGCACCTGTAGGAGTATTTGCATCCTTCTCGTGGGAGTGATTGTGAAAGTTAGAGAATGTCTCGATTAAGTAACTCAACATACATCGATAGTGGGCACACTGGAAGGCTATACCAAAGCATGAAGGTAGAGGCAGTCAGAAACTGATGATAAACAGCATGTAAGGAAGTGAATAACTCCTCGGGGTGACTCGAGCACTAGGGATCCCAACGCTGGATGATACTAAGCTTAGTAGCTACTATGGTTACACTCATGGTTGGCTGGTAGTCGCTGCCACCCTCCAACTGATGTGGAATAGGCACTGAACTGACGGCTGCGGCAACGCCGGGTGAAATTATCGATACTGGGATGTGGTCTCTATAAACTAGTACACCAAGTAGTGATCATCCCGTGATCACACACTACATTCGAGAGGTCGTGGGAAGTACCCTATTGAGAGGAAGTGAATCTTGACGGACATTAGATCGATTCCATTACCTCTCTGATTCCAACAGTATAGGACAGGGCTCTCATTGTATGATGTTTAGTATTATGATGGTGTTGCTGCTGCTGCAGACGGTGTGCTCTCACTACCGGAGCATCAACCAATGTTCAAGGTGATACTGTTGAGGTTCGATACTCAACATGGCGTGTACATCCACCAACATAACGGCGTTACGTTGATCAGTGCCAACTACAAACACGAGCCGTGGGAGGAGGCTGATGAAACTCGAATACACAGCATAAAATGATAGGGAACAGAATTACTTGTGACAGTGGTAGTAATATGGGATATACTTTCCAATAGAATTAGGCCCGTGCAGAAGCCTGGTGGGAGTGGGGAGGGATACCTCGATGCAGTGGACGGCGATAAGAAGGAGGAACAGACCAGTCACTAGCTTGACCCGACTTTAGAGAACCTGTCTCCCCGACTAGTGTTCCAAAGCTAGGG